GTGGTCAAGCCACCAGGCCAGGTTTGGTGGAGCTACTGTGGGCTGGGCCTGGGGTGGGGGCTCCCCTGGAAGTGCCCCGCCCCAAAGGGTCACTGGTACCTGGCTCTCTGGTCCAGGATGCAATTCTGCGTCCCCAGTGGCTTCCCCCACAGCAGAGCCCCCACCCCCAACCTCAGAGGCTGCAGTGTCTCAGGGCTTTGCACTGGCTGCTGGTCAGCCTGCACCCTACCCCACCCACAGGCCCTGCCTGACCCATGGGCAACCCCTGAGCCGTGCTGGTCCCAGGACCCCTGCCCTTCCATTGAGTGGCTGGGTTGGGCGAGGGCGGGAAGATGGAACCTGGGTTCCCAGAGAAAGTAAGGCATGTGGACCCAGGAGCTGAGGGCCACGCAACCCTGCCTAAGCCTCCAGGGTGGGCGGCACCATGAGGCCAGCACCCGGTGCCCAGACAAGACCTCAGGCCCCAGAGCCAGCAGCAAGGGCCTCGCTGCCCCAGGCTCGGGGACGTGCCCGGCCTCTGTGCCCCAGTGCCCAGCAGCGTGAGAGGACTGGCAGCAGCGGGAAATGGCTGGAGGACGGAAAGGTTCCTGTACCCATTAACCAGCACTCGCCGAGACCACGGTGAAGAGGAGGGAGGTGGTTCATGTTTGTCAGACCAGGAGCCGGGGGCCTGGCAGCCGGCAGGGCTGAGTGCTGAGGGCAAGCCCACGCTCGCTTGGAGGACGAACTGGAGGCCCATCTCCAGCCGGAGCTCCAGGACTCAGGGCAGAGGAGGCTGTGCGCTGCGTTTTAGTTTCCTGTGAAGGGTGTCCCGCGCTGGGCTGCCCAGAAGCGGCCTGAGCTCCGCACTGCCACACGGGCACGCACGGGGGCTTTCACGCACCCGAGGCCAGACTGCGCCCCACCAGGTCCTGACCAGCCTTAGGGGCCCCGACCGTCCCTGTGACGCCCTCAGCACCGCCGTGTCCTGCCTGCCGTCGGGTATTCACGCTCGAGCTCGCGTCCCTTACCGCCTCACGCGTGGCTTCTTCGGGGCAGCAGCGTGATGGCATGTGAACCTGTCCAACGTGCTTCTTTCCACGTGTGCGCCCGCGTTTGCGTGGCCGGGGGGCTGCCTCGCTCCTCTCCGCTCCCCTGGAGGACAGCAGGCGGCCAGACCAGAGGACCTGCAGGAAAGGCCAGGACTAGACAAACTTCACTGCTGTCACATGATGAGTTTTCAACAGACAGACAGACAATTGCTCAGGCAACCAGACGGAGATGGAGACGGTCCTCGCTGCAGGGGTGGGGGGTGGCGTGGTGGGTGTTAAAGGAACTCCACGGGCGGCGCATTTCAGAAGCCCTGGGAGGACTTGGGGCCAGAGATGCTCCCGTGGTCTGTGGGCTTCTGGGGAGACGCGGAGCGAGGCCGGTCTCTGCGAAGCCGAGACAGCCCTTCCCTACTCCCCGGTCCTGGCTGTTTAAATGGGAACGTTACCCCTTCCCTGTGATGGGACCCCGAGGCCCCTGCCACCAGCCGGAGCTGGCAACCCGCCTGGGCCTGGCCCACCCCCGTCAGTGAAGGTGACACGAGAACAGAACTCACACCTCAGACTCACACCCTGTCTCCACTGCAAAGATAACTAAGAGGCTTTTTATTTCATTAATAATTAAGGTTATGCTAATATGTGTCTCAAAATAACCCCAAAGTTTAAGACATGCCATTACAATAGTTGTACGCCTAACGGGCAGGACCCACACACTGGAATACACACCTTATCAGACAGCAAGCCAATGGCAGGTGTGGCTCCAATGATTAAAGTGCCAGACGGAAAGCTGAAAAGCTGTGCTTCAAATAACTGCACAGGATAAACTTAGACCCTCAAAAACCAGATGGGAATTGGCAAAATAAAACAAATGAGAAAAACTGTTTGAATTCTCAAACACGCTAAATTGCGTTAAGTATGTCTCACCAAGGGCTTGAGGAAAACAGCGGTAAACTGTACGTGGTTGACATGTTCATTCCTTTATTTCCGTAACCACTCAGGCTGCCTGTGTCCCTGGCGGACGGAGGCAGCCGGAAAGCAGACACCCGCTGGCTTCGCATGAACAGAGGTTACACGGAACGCAGACCAAGGCCAGACGCTGGGGGGTGGGCGTTACGTCCATCACAGATTCTCATGTCACATCATAGAAGCACATGCCACGGGAGGAACTGCACTGAACGATTACACAGACTCCCTGGGGGGCAGGGGACGCCGACCCTCGTGGCGGGCTCAGTGCGGGCAGAATGAGCGGGTAAAGGGACACAGGCAGGCGCGCCTCACCCATCGCTCAGGGTTGGTCCGACTGTTTCCATGACCACAGTGGCCCCGTGAGCGGTGAGCGATCCCCAGTGCCGGCCGAGCAGCAGTCTGGCCACACAGCCCGGAGCTCGGCAGGGCCGGCTCCACCCCCACAGGAAGCGTGGACACAGCCGCGGGCAGCGCTGCTGGCAAACAACCTGAACACCAAGCGCAGCTGCTGCGGGTGTCAGGGTGAGTCAGGGAGGCCCGCTGCCCCGGTGCTCCCACCAGTGCTGGAGGGCACCCTAAAACTATGACCCAGAACAGCACCCTAAAAGGACTGGCCAACACGGGCTCCAACAACCTGCACTGGGACAGCCCCCAGCCGCTGGGGGGCAGGTGGGCGGGCTCACAGCCTGGCACCCGACTGCTCTCTGACCCCACTATCGGAAGTCCACTGCAGGAGGAGCTAGCAGGGGCTTTAATGATCGGGCAACACTGCGCAGCCAGGCCTGCCCAGGCTCCGCCCTCCCTGGGCGTCCAGGGCCGTTCCCGCACCGGCCCAGGCTCCCCCGTTTACATCGAGTGCCACTTGTGAGAGGTGACACCGGAGCACTAGGTCATCACGCTCGGACCAACACGCCATCAAGGCGCTTCAGAGCTTCGGGAACTGAGTCTTTTGCTTCCTGATGGGCAAGACACGCGCCCCTGTCAGCAGAGGGAACAGCACTTCCCACACTCACAGACCTGGGCCCGGCTGGCTCCTTCAGGCACTAGAAACGTCCACGCGCTGGTCACGGGAGCGAGAGGCCCTCTCACTGCCCGGCCGCCGAGTGCGATCGGGGCGATGCTAGTGGCTGACGGCGACCTTCCTCGGCCGGCTGCGAGTGCCTGCCCACCTCTGTGAGGCAGCCCTGGGCCTGCGAGCAGCCCACCAGACACGGTCACGTAGGTCCAGAAACCTGCCGTGGCACTAGCCTCCAGTCCTCATCCTGCACAGGTCTGGGCGTTTCGTTTCCCTTTTATCTTTTTAAAGGTCCATTGAAATGTTCCCATCCTTACAATTACTAAGGAAAACTGTCAGTGCAGACTTTACAAACAAAACCTCTCGAAAGTATTAGCTGGTGTCATCCCTTTTTCAAAGGTTTCTTTGCTACGAATGTTCATAATTTTCTTACGTCACACACAAAGGTCAGACCCCCTCTGCATGCAGCGAGCCTGGGAAACGCCTGTTTTCCAAACGAACGTTGATGAAAGAACAGACCATTCACAGAAAGTAAAAACAACCCACCCATGACGTTGGGCGGGACCAATCAGGCTTCATGAATGGGACAGTCCTGCTTTATTAGCAGAATAAAACACACTCACTACCTCTGTGCTCGGCCCTTCCTTCTAATCAACCTAAAGCTTCCCTTCCTCACAGCTGTCCTAGTCTCAGGCAGGCAAGGCCTAGTTCTAGGTTCTGAAACACCTGCATTTTCATGCTTTTGCAGCTAAACATGACAAAAGCTGCCCCAATGCCATTTTCTGATTAAGAAAATAACACCACAACGTACGGATCAGATCCCGGGGAAAAGTCAGTGAGCTGTAATGACATTTCTTTTGCGACATCAAAAGCAGCAGGTACGGAATATAATTTGCTGAAATCATAAATACTGAGATTGCAATATGCACGTACAAATCACATTTAGGCTCAGCGCACCGAAAGCCTCCGTAAATACATACACGTCCGGGTAAGTGCTGAACGGGCGTGCGCCCGGCCTCAGTACTCCCACTCGTCCGACTTCAGGTCCAGGAAGCTGAGGATGTTCTGGGCCAGCTTCACCGCCTGCTTCCGGGCCGCCTTGCACTGCTCCTCGCCCTGCGGGTCCACCGCGTCCAGGGCCAGCAGCTGCTTGGTGAGCAGCTCCTCCAGCCGGATGTAGTTCTTGTCAGTCCGGTTCCCGTCGAACAACAGGACTTCTCCCAGGATCTCCGACAGGTGGCCCAGGATGGCCCAGACGGCCCGGTGGGACGGGTGCTCCTCGCACACGAAGGCCTTCCTCTTCTCCAGCGCCTCCTTCAGGTCGATGTGCGTGATGAGGGTCTGCACGGCGATCACCGCCCTCCGCCGGGCCTCCCGGATGCAGGGGTTCTTCTCCAGGCTCACCTCGTCCAGCTGCCCGATCAGGGCCTGCAGCTCCGTCTTGGAGCTCAGGTACAGCTCGGGAGGGTTCTGCGCCTGCAGGAGCTCGTTTTTAATCTCTCTCATTCGCTTGAGGACCTTTTCTATTTTCAGGATGGAATGATTCTGTCCCAGGTCAAACGCATAGGTGGTATCTGCTTCCTCTTCCAAATCCAAATACTTCAGTAATTTGTTGATGTCCTCCACCACCTCCCGGCGGTAATTCCGGATCTCCGTTCGCCCACACACGTCCAGCGCGTCCAGATCCGCGATCATCCCCGAGAGCACGCACGACAGGTGCTTGCACGTCTCGTTGTTGGCCACGCCCATCAGCAGGGCGATCAGAGTGCCCCTGGCCTTGTTCACCTCGCACATCACGCAGTTGATTTTGGCCACGGAGGGGTGCGTGTCCTCGGAGAGCGGCAGGGACGGCTGCCGCTTCACGCAGTCCTCGATGATCTCCTGCACCGCGCAGATCTTGGTGAGGGTGTGGTAGCGCGCCTTCCGCAGGGACACCTTCCCGCCGGTCTTGACGTGCGTCAGCCGCAGGATGATGTCCTGAATGCCTTCTTCGAACTCCTCGGCCACGCAGCTGCCGCCGCTGTAGAAGGGCACGATCTGGTCCCGCACCAGGGCCTGGGCCTCCCGGAAGATGTTCTGGATCTCCAGGCGGTGTGGGTGGTTGGCGTTCTGCTCCAGCTCCTTGAGCAGGCGCTCCGTCTCCTGGGGCGGCCCGCTTCCGCGCCTGCTGAACGTCCCCCCTCCCTTCCGTGTCCACGGAGTCTATCTCGAAAAGCTGTTTCATCAGCATCCGCTCCAGCTTCTTGTAGTTCTTGTCGTCCGACAGCCCGCTGAAGCCGACCACCTGGGGCTCGATGCTCTTCACCTCCTTCTGGATCTCCTGCAGCCGGCTGATGTTGGGGTGTTGGTTTCCCATATCCATGCTCTGGTTGTGGTCAGTTTCACAAGCCCTGGAAGAGGACAAGAACGCAACTTAGTACACGCAGTGTCTGCAGGGGGGTGACCACAGGTTCGTTCCTTCTAAAATTCTCTCTCTGGAAAGCTGTATGCAAAAGGGCTCGTCATTACTGCAGCCCAGAGAACAGTCATGCTCAAGTATAGAAAGCAGTCACCGGGTAGGCAAGGCTTCGTGACTGAGCGTCGACCTATGAACCAGGAGGTCACGGTTATCGATTCCCACCGTCAGGGCGCAGGCCCGGGTTCAGGCTTGATCCCCACTGTGGGGCGTGCAGGAGGCAGCCGATCCATGATTCTCTCTCCCCCTCTCCGGTCCTCTCTGAAATCCATACATATACATATGAAAGAAAGAAGTCACCCCTCCCGCACGGTTCAGTGGCTGAGCGGCCTATGAACCAGGAGGTCCCGGTCAGGGCACATGCAAGCATCGACCAATGAATGCACAAATAAGCGGAACAACAAACCAATGTTTCTCTCTCCCTCCTCTCTCTAAAATCAATCAATAAGCCCTGGCTGGGTTGGCTCAGTGGATAGAGCGTCAGCCTAGGGACTGAAGGGTCCCAGGTTCGATTCCAGCCAAGGGCACATGCCTGGGTTGCGGGCTGGATCCTTAGTAGGGGGCGTGCAGGAGGCAGCCGATCAATGATTCTGTCTCATCATTGATGTTTCTCTCTATCCCTCTCCCTTCCTCTCTGAAATCAATAAAAAAATATATTTTAAAAAGTCAATCAATAAGTATTATTTTTAAAGATGCTTGATCTTAGGGAAAAGAAGTGACTAAAGAACTCGCGCTCCTGAAAACAACCACCCCAGTGACCAGGAGCAGGCCGGTGCCTGGGGTGGCAGGAGCTGGGCTCTGGGCCGGATGGCAGGCTCCCCGGCTGCACAGGACGCAGTCGCACCCCGTCAGTGTGGCACCCCGTCAGTGTGGCACGCAGCTGTGTGAACTCTCGAGTGGAAAGGGCACAGGCTCCCCGGCCCTCACCCTGGAAGCTGCCGTGGCCGCCAGCGGGGCCCTTTCAGGAATGCAACCCAGCAGCCGGGCCTCCAGCAACAGGTCTACCTAAGCACCGCCCAGGATCCAGGCCCGAGTTTCCGGAAAAACTACCCCGAAGAGAAACAAACACCCCCCCAGGCG